ATTAAACTGGTGAACATCACTTTCCCCACCCTGAGATCCCATCTCATCCAATTTGCATACTGCCCCGAGGCTCTTTCTGTGACTGAGCATTATGGGCAGATGGTAGGTGACAGCAGGCCTCAGAGTGCTCTGGACCTTTTGCTGAGCTGCCCCAGGCTCAGTACTGGTGGCGGCCAACCTCATTTTGTAGTGTGATGTTTCCCATGTACCTCCAGGTCTAGCACAGGCAGCAACCAACTGCAGATCACTTTGTAGCTTCTACCAGGTAGCCTTGGGGTGGTCATAGACAGCAACTGACCTTGGTCTGCACCAGACACTCTACCAAGAGGCCCCCGAACCAACACACCCTGTGTTGTGATCAACTTCAGACCACAACAAAGCACCACCTGGTTAGCCCCACAAGGGGCATATCCAAAGGGTGATTTCAACAGGCATCTGAGGCCACTCTGTGGGGTCAGACCCCATACAGCAGCTGGCAGGCTGTGTTCGTGGCCAGTCCTCACAGCCAGTCAGCCCGAGGGTCAATCCCGCCCACTGACATGCCAGCTGCAATCAAAGCTCAACTACAACAGGAAGGCACACATAACCCACACAAAGGACACTCCTGGAGCACCCAGCTCAGGTGATCAGGGTGACTGTATCGATGGGCTCCACAGGACGCCTACTACATAAAGCTACACTGCCAAGACTGGGAGACATAGTAGATCCACCTAATACACAAAAACAAACGCAGAGAGGCATCCAAATGAGGAGACAAAGAAACATGCCCCAAGTCAGAGAACAGGCAAAAACTCCAGAAAAAGAACTAAATGAAATGAAGGCAAATACTCTATCCGTTACAGAGTTGGAAACACTGGTTATAAGGATCCTCAAGGAACTTAGTGAGATAGTTAGCATAAAAAAAAAAAAGACATAGTAACTATAAAAAAGAACCAGTCAGAAGTGAAGAATACAATAATTGAAATGAAGAATACACTAGAAGTAATCAACAGAAGATTAGATGAAGCAGAGGATAAAATCAGCAATTTGATTGACAAGGGAGCAGAAAATACCCAACCAGAACAGCAAAAAGAAAAAAGAATCCAAAAATATGAGGATTGTTTAAGGGAGACCTCTGGGACAATATCAAGTATAACAACATTTGCATCATTGGGGTACTAGGAGAAAAGAGAAAGCAAGAGATTGAGAACCCACTTGAAGAAATAATGATGGAAAACTTCTCTAACATAGTGAAGAAAATAGACATACAAGCCCAGGAAGCACAAAGAGTCCTAAGCAACATGAACCCAAAGAGGCCCACATGAAAACATATCATCATCAAAATGCCACAGGTTAAAGACAAAGAGAAAATCTTAAAAAGCAGCAAGAGAAAGACGGTTAGTTACCTACAAGGGAGCACCCGTAAGACCGTCAGCTGATTTCTCAACAGAAACTTTCCAGGCCAGAAGCGATTGGCACAAAGGATTCAAAGTCATGAAAAGCAAGGACCTACCACCAAGACTACTATACCCAGCAAGGCTATCATTTAAAATTGAAGGAGAGATAAAGAACTTCTCAGATATAAACCTAAAAGCAACAAATGAACAGGACAAACAAACAGAGACTCACGGACATGAACAATAGACCTAGTGGTTACCACGGATAGGGGAGGAGGAAGAAGGTAGATAGGGTAAAAGGGGTCAAATATGTGGTGACAGAAAGAAACCTAACTATGGGAGGTGAACGCACAGTGTAAATATATATATGCCTTACTGTTAATGTGTACAGCTGAAACTTACTGGATTTCGTTAACCAATGTCACCATAAAAAAATTAATTAATTAATTTTACAAAAAGAGAGAGAGGGCCCAAATAAATCAAATTAGAAATGAAAGAGAAGCGACAACTGACATCACAGAAATATAAAGGATCGTAACAAAGTTTTACTACCTAGCATATAGTACTTGTGTCATCAATCAAGCACCATTTTAAAACAGCCAATGAGATATCAGTAATTGTGAATTGTTCGAAATAAAAATATCTTTGGAAAAAACAAAAAAAAGAAATATAAACTCCTGTGTCCCATCCCAGACCTACTAATTCTGAAGCTGTGGGGAGGGAAAACAGTAATCTATGCTTCAGCAAACTCTTAAACTGATTCTAATACATGCTTAAGTTTGCAAACCACTGCTCTAGCCCCACACTGGCCCTCACTAAAGTTTTTTCCCACCTCAAGGCCTTTGCACCAGCAGTTTCTATTTCTAGAATGCTCTTCCTGTGGGCCTTTGCATGGCAACTACCTCCCATCATTCAGGTCTCAGCTGAATACCACTGACTCAGGAGAGTTTTCCAAACCCCCTGAACTATCCCCTTATACTTTCTCTCATATCCCTATTTTAGTCCATTTGTAACATCCATTTGCCACATTCTGAAATTACCTTGATTCTTTATTTGTTTACTTGTTTATTAACCATTTCTTTCCTCACTATAATGGAAACCCCAAGAGGACAAGATATATTGTCTCTTAAACCCTCTGCATCTCCAGCTCCTAGAAAAATACCTAGCTTATAGTAGTTAATCAATACATATTTGTTGAACAAATGAATTACTAATTTCCCAGTGAAGAAATGGGCTATCTATCAAGTAACTTAATGAAGATTAAATACTTGTTAATGAGTAGCTAAAGTTTCACCCTGAAAGTCTCAGATCAGGCCCAGAGATTTTCTTGCATTTTCCTGATTAGAGAGCAGCCATGTCTCCAAAACCCTGGGAATCTCAGGTTGGAAAGGGTTTGGCAATTACTGGTCCAGTCCTTTTCAGATGTGTGAGTTTCCTCAATGTCCTAAGATGGGTGTTTTCTATCTTCTACTTCAAAATTCCTGGAGATGGGGGAGTGATTACCTTGCTGAGGTAGTTAGTTCCACTTTAAACAGCCCTGACTGTTTCAGATGTAACTCCCTGACTTTTTTGCCCATGACCCTTGTTTTTCCCTGTGGGGCTCCACAGAATGCATCTTCCATAAATGGACCTTATCTCATTTTAGCCACATATCAAACAGTCTCTTACTTACTTTTTGTGTGTTAGCGAAAAAAGCAGGCACTTTGGAGTTAGGAAGACCTGGATGCAAACTCTCTTTCACTTACTGGCTTTGGAAAGTTCCCTTCATCATCTTAGGCTCCTTCTCTAGAACAGGGGTTCCCAACCCCAGGGCCACAGACAGCTACAGATCTGTGGCCTGTTAGGAACTGGGCCACACAGCAGGAGGTGAGCATCAGGAGAGCCAGCAGGAACTGGGCCACACAGCAGGAGGTGAGCGTCAGGAGAGCCAGTGAAGCTCTTCTGTATTTGCAGCTGCTCCCCAGAGCTAGCATCACTACCTCAGCTCCACCTCAGATCATCAGGCATTAGATTCTCATAGGAGCACCGGTCTCTGGTGCCAAAAAGGATGGGGACAGCTACTCTAGAATACTGCCTGACATTTAATGTATTCTTGTTGTTACTTTATTATTATTAGGTTTTAAATCTCCAAAACATTCTGGTTAATTTTTCTGATTAACTTGAATTATTGTCCTTTGATTCATTGAATTAACATCTTTTATAAAATGTGTTTCTCAGTACTAAACATGCTACTGAATAGAACTCAGTAGAGTGAAATTATCAACTTGTTTAGACTGTTTCTTTTAATACCACCCAAAATCAAATTAGCTTTTTTGGAAGATCTAATACATCATAGATGCATAGTAAACCTACAGTCAGCTGAAAATCCCAGATTTTTTCCCCTCATACATTACTATCCAATCATCCTATAAAGTTGCTTACCTAATATATTATTTCCATCATTTAAAATTTCTACTTGCTATATTTCTTCAAGTGGGAGTATATCTATGTTTCAGTTGTTATCTTAGAGCTAAATAATACTCTATAATTTCTCAGCAATTTTGTATATTAAGTCTCATTTGAATCCTCATAATGAACCTGAGAGGCATACATTATCCTCATTATTATGATTTGGAAATGAAGGCTGGAGGTTGTGACTTGCTCACGGTCACCCAGTTAGTAAGCAGAACCAACATGAAGTCAAGGCTCTTAGGACACAAGTCTAGTATTGTTTTGAGGAAGGAAAAGGAAGAGAATGAGCTCTCGGTTGGGTGGAAATAATAAGGGAAGTAAGTCTTTCTGGAGAAAGTAAGTACTGTGTGGGGTTTTATAAGAAGGGGAAAAGCAAGCAATCAGAAGACGGGGTACATGCGGTTGAGGTGAGGGGGACTTATAAGCCGGAAAGGTATCTTTGAAGAGTAATTCCTTGGACAGATTGGGTCCCTAAGCTAGGCCAGTGATTCCTAACCTGACCTGCCTATCATAATCACCTAGGGAGATTTTTAAAACTCACCTGCTGCCCTCGACCCCTGCCTGAGATTCTGAGTCAGTAGATTTGAGGTGGCCACCTGTATTGTTTTTATATCTCTACATGTAATTATGATATATAGCCTCTGTTGCAAACCACTAGGCTAGGACCTGGAGGGTCAGTTACCAAGAGAGAGTGTTCTAGGGGTCCTTATTGTGGAGAAATGAATTAGTCAGGTGGAACTGGGAAAGGAGAGAGGATACAAAGCAGGCAATGGAATGATATGATATGAGTTTCTGGGAGGAAAACTTTTGATGATAAGAAAACTCTGAACGCTTCTAAACAGGAAAGTAACATGTGATACATTGATAATGTTGCGTAAAGACTCATCCTACAAGCTCTTTCTAAACCGATCTCTATTCATCAGTATAAGAGGATTATGGCAGTACCCTCACTTAACCCACTCTCATTACATCTTTACCTTAAAATGTTTCTGTGGTTTCAGATGCATCACCTTCTCATTTTGCTGTTTGCTGCTGAGTCTGGTTCTTCATTCCATTTTTGCCTTCCCTGTACTTGCAGAAACGTCACAAAAATGGTGGACACTTGTTTCAGAGTTTTATAATCTTTATTTTCAATCTGCCAGACCAGGCTGTCTTTTCCTGTGCTAGTCAGTGATGAGCTCTGACTGATGGGTGCTAAGCTGGCCCAGAAGACGCCCTACATCGTGCTCAGTGGCAGCAGCAAGAGCATGAACGCTAACACCATCACCAAGTGAAGCCGGTGCGGGGTGCCATATAGGGAGAAGACAAGATCCAGACCTCAGGCAGTTTAATGGGGAGACAAGCTACACACATGAAGACGTCTTGAGCATACTTACAAAGCAGCAGGTCAGATCAATACAGTGCAAACCTAGATCAACTAGAGGCCTAAGCCCTCAGCCCCACCTCCTAGTCCCCTTGGCTCAGAACCTCCCTGAGTTCTTTGACCTCATTTAGTATTTCTCTTCTGTCTCTTTCCTGTTGGCTTTTTCCCCAGCATCGACAGCTAGAACAGTGTCTAGAAATTGTTTCAAAGCTTATGGTAAGATTGTTTTAGGACTCTCTGCTTTGGCCTGGTCATTTCCAGCTACCGATCACCTCATAAGGACTGAATTCGTGTTAGCTACATGGCTTCTGAAACTTGGTCTGATAGTGCTTCTATGCCTAACCATTTCTTCTTTTGTTACGGAGCCGTGTTCCATTGGGAAGGAAAATTCAGTCAGAAAGGGATACCAAACTGATGAGAGAAATTTTTACAGTCCCAGTAGTGGATTGCTGAATCTGGAACAGGAACCCTCATGCTGTCCCTCTCCCAGCCTGCTCAACTCATACATGGCCGCGAGGGCCTCCAAAGGTGCAGAGACCTCCCTAGTCTGTTGTAAAGTCAGAGCTCGCTGCTCCCTCTACTTGACTCGCACCCTTATCCCCATTCGTCATCTCCGCTATCTCTCTGCCTTTGCGTCCCGACAGGGTGGAGCTCCGATGCCGCAGTATCTGAAGCCCTTTGCCAAAGGCTCTGCGCACATCCGACGAAGAGAAATAGAAAAGCAGGGGATCCAGGCTGGCATTGAGGGAACTGAATACCACAGCTTCCGCTCGCCACTGGGGGCTTTTCTTCGTGTAAAACCCCACCAGGTGGGATACGTTATAAGGACCGAAGCACACCAGGAAATTAAGGAGTGTCACGATAGCCAGCCCCACAGCTCGGCGCCGCCTCTGGGCCCCCACATGGGGCTGAGTGAGCATGATCCACACAAAGCGCCAGTAGCAGAAGATGGTGACCGCCATGGGGATAAGGAAGAGGACAAGGCACAGCTCCAGTCGCACAGGAAGCACCAAGGCCAGCTGGCCTTTGTTGAAGTTGTCGTAGCAGGTAATTTCATCCTTATTTGTGGCCTCCTGGGTTGTGTTCCAGTACTGGACGATGATGACGATGGTGCAGTGACCAAAGGACATGATCCAGGAGATCAGAGCAGCAATCACTCCATACAAAGGCCGGCGGGACAGCTTGTACTGCACGGGGAAAGCCACTCCCAGGTAGCGCTCGATGCTGATGCCCGCAAGGAGCCATGTGCTCCAGTAGATGCTGCTGTAGAAGCCGAAACCTGTGATGGCACAGATTATCTCAGGCAGTTTCCACTTGAATTCATATGCGGCCTCGATGATCTTGAAGGGCAGCAGCAGCAGCAGCAGGAGGTCTGCCAGTGTCAGGCTGAGCAAGAGAATGTGGATCGGTGCACGCTGGGGCTGGCGGACTCGCCCCAGGAAGGCACGAAGGGCCAGGAGGTTGGCAGGGAGACCGGTGAGAAAGATAAAGACATAGGCCACGAGGATCAAGGAGCTCTTCAAGCTTAGCATGACTGTTCTGAAAGAGGATTAAAAAAGGGCAGGGTCAGGAGGCCCCACTCATAGCCTGTGGTCCCACCTCTGGTTCAGGATGAGGACATCCTCCCTGGCACTCTCCCCTTCCCAGGTCAAGGCTGTCTGCTGACACCACTGCTTGCTCACACCACCTGCCAGAACTGCCCAGAGCAATTATTGACTTTGCCTGGGGTGGGATATTAACTAGGAGTTATTATGTTTGCCGTCATGTGTCTCTGGGGGAGACCAACCCTTGGCTTCCCAAGGGAATTCCCCCTCCAGTTTCCCCAGCCTTTCTCCTTCTTTCCTCAGAGATACAGGAAGTTACTTTTATCAGTTTCCAACTTTCCTCAAGTCCCTTCCTCATTCAGAGACCTGCAGAGAGAAAAAGCAAGCCTCCTCACACTGAGAACTCGTCCAGTGAGAAGCAGGCGCTCCACCCAGTGCTGGTTCTCCATAGCACCCCACTACCTGTCCAGGAAGCAGGTGCTCAGCTCCCTAACCCATCTCCCAATCTCGTTTTCTCCTTTGCAGAATACAGATTCTCTTCTACCTTTTCCTCTCCTGTCCAATACAAGACTCGGATTGTTATTAAAAAGGGGAAGCTAGTGAAGTGTAGGGGAAGGGGGAGTGGGGAGAAAGCATGAGCCAGCACTATCTTTGGGGTTTGTCCCCCAAAGGCTTTAGAGAATATTCAGAAAAGCCCACAGGCAGTCACTGGCTCCCGAACAGAAGAACTCTTCTTAATGGGGTAGCTGTTTCCACTTAGTTTGTAACCCTCACCACCCACACCGTTTGTAACCTTCATCCTCTTTCTGGGTTCGATACCCCGGTCTGTGATTTCTTGACCTCCACCACCCCACTGTCTCCTGTCTCCAGATGTGATCCTTACATTCTATTTCTGAGAGACTTCCTCCAGCCCCCCAAACACCTTCCCCTCCACTTCTGATCCTGGCATCACTTCCCAGAGTGCAAGCACTCAGCTAGCTTCCTTGCCTTGTCTTCGTTCCAGATAGATGGCTTCTTGGGATTAGTCCTGAAGGAAAGTCTGAAAGCTTCTGGGAAAGAGGAACAGAGCTTCAGCCACTGCTACCGCTCATTTCACACAGGAAAATATTGTAAGGAACCTGGCTGGTAGAAAGCTTTTATACCAGCACAAGTCACGTGACCAGAGAGAGGAAGTTCAGTAATTGAGCGCTGTCTCTTCTCCCACCCGAAGGAAAAGGCGCCAGCATCTTTCTTCTTACCCTACGGATCCTCATTCTGACTTCCAGACCCAGACGGAGTTTCTGTCCTAGTTCCCGAATTTCTTTTCAATCCCAGGCACCTTTCCTATTTCCCGTTAGATTCTCTTCTCCTCTCTTTTCTAGGAGATTTCTTCTATCAATCTACTTATTCTCAGAAAAGAGGATTCCTATTTCTTCTTATTCTTTATTTTTTTTTCCCTTTCTATATGGTCTCCCGCCTTCTGCCTCCAGTAAGTTTCTTTTACCCTCTCAGTTGAAACAGATTGATTTCTCCTAGCCTGTGTAGTGTGGGATTGAGGGTCAGGCACATGTGGGCTCAAATTTAAGTCCCTCATTGTGACTTTGGGGCAGATCAATTTTCTGAACTTTAGTTTTCTTTTCAGTCAGGTGAGGAGTCCGTGAGATGGCATATGGAAAGTGTATGGGCCAGTGCTTAGCACTTCATGGATGCCAGTTAGTAGACGTGGTCCCTCCTCTCAAGCTTGTTGGACAGCTTTGGAGAGAGTGAGCCACTTGGTAAAATAGCCAGAGGCTGAGGGCACAGTCATGCTGTCTACTCGGCCACGTGTCATGGATTCGGGGGCCCCGCGGTGCCTGTGTGGCTCTTTCTAGAGGAGTGGTGCTCAGGCTCCATTCCTTTCCCCCACATATTCCCTCTTCCTAGGAGCGAGGCCCAACCTCTGAGCCACCCTGTCCTTTCCTCACTGTGCAGCTCCAGCTTAGAAGCTCCTCGAAGTCCTGTTGAAACACACGCCCGAGGAAACACAGAGTCGAAACATATTTTCCTCTCGACCTAGGGAATGGGTCTGTTTTCTTATCTGTGGTCATCTCTGCTCACAGAATCTCCATTCTTTCTCAAGGACATACTGATCTTCTGTTGCTTGTTCATTCATTCATTCATTCATTCATTCATTTTTTGGCCTAGAAACCCAGGGTCCAGGTATCTTAATATTTAGCTTTTGTTTCTCCTCAGCTCTACTCTCCTCTAGAACCAAAGAGTTCTATCTTTTCATTTATTTTCTTCTTTTAGCATGCATATGCACTTCCCAGATAAACGGGAATGAAGGAAGAGACCATTCTCTCTGGCTTGCTACCAAATTTATTTGTGTCATTTTGCTTTTATGATTTTCTATAAATATTCATGAGGATCTGGATTTCATTGCAAAGCAGATTAAAATTTCCAGTAAAATTTTCAGTTTTACTGGAAAACAGATGTTGAAGAGGACTCCTTCTCTATTCTTGCCTGTTCTTGCCCCATCTCATGCCTTTCTCATATCATTGTTGTGTGTAACTTATGTTGAAGGTCCCCTAGTGAACCCTCTTCTCCATATTCACAGTAGTTATCAAAGTAACATAATAAAGGAAATCTTTGAACTCATAATTCAAAATCCCCACCTATGTCACAGGAAAAGGAAATGCAACCTCTCAAGCTGAATTCAAGGGCTGAGCTTTCACAGAAGCAGTATCTTTCACAATCTCTTCCAAGTTCAAGTTTCTTTCATCATCATTATTACCCAGCTTGTTATACTAGGAGATTGGACACATTAGCTAAAGTTATATATAATCACTTTCTCCATTTTCTTATTTCTCAGTCATCCCTCAGTCCACTCTAACCTGGGTGGCATCCCTCTTTTTCTGTAGGATCTGTTCTTCCTGAGGTTAGCAGTGACCTCTATGTCACCAAATTTAGTGGACATTTTCTTATTATTGTACTAGCATTCAACACAGTTTCTACACCCATCTTGAATTCTTTCCATAAATTCTGATATGGAAAGAATCATGCTCTTCTGGTTTCCACACCTTTTCTTTGGTCACGTCTTAATTTCCCTTGCTAGCTCATCTCTCCCTCCTCATCCTCTAAATGTCGGAGTTCCTTACGAGTTGATTCTAGGTTCTTTACTATCCTCATCCTGTGCTCTCTCCCTAGTCTACATTGCATCCACTTCAACAATGTTAATTACCATCTTCCTAGCACCCAATTTTGAATCTCCATCTTGGGCTTCTGTGAGCTTTCACATCCATATGTCCACCTGCCTAGTAGACGTTGTCATTTGGATGTCTTCTAGGCATCTCAAATTCAGTGTTTCCAGAGCTGACTTTAGACCTTCTCCACCAAACTAGACATTCTTCCAGCATTGTTTGTGCTGGGGAATAGAATCTCTTCCATTTTCATCCCCTGAGCCATAATCTTAGAGTCGATCTTAATACCATCTTCATCCTTATCCCCTGAATGTAGCCCAACATAACTCTCAAACAGTTATTGAATTTGTTCATCTCTCTCTCTCTCCCCCATTATCCCATCTCAGTGTAAGCTGCCATCATGTGCCACCAGGATTTCAGCAGGGGCCATGACTAGCTCCCTCACTCTCATGACAGTCAACTCTCCATACTGTACTTAGTAGGATCTTTTTTAGAAGGTCAAGCTAATTATACTATCTCTTAGTTTAATACCCTTTCGAAAGTTTCTTATTGCTTTTAGCATAAATATCAGAATCCTTAACAAGGCCTATAAGGCCTGTGTGGTGTGGCCGTCACCAACTTCTGGCCTTAACTCATGTTACTCTTCTCTCTCTTTGCTCTCTAAGCAAGACCATCTGTAAATGCTCCGTCTTTCCTTCTGCCAGGGGCCCTTGAACAAGCCTCTGCCTGGAATGCTCTTTATTTCTCATTACCCACTCCAACTTCCCCAGTCAATCTCTAGTCTTCTTTCAGATATCCATTTCTTCCTTTAAAACCCCCCACCACCCCGACCGTCTAGATTCAGCTAAATTCCTTTATTATATGTTCTCATAGTATCTTTTCTATTGTTGAATAGTATTCTGTTTTATGAATATTTTATATTTTATTTATCCATTCACCTATTGATAGACATTTTTTCCCTTCGGTTTTTGGCTTGTGTCAATAAAGCTGCTATGTACATTGTCATTTAGGTCTTTGTGTGAAGATGTGTTTTTTCAGTTCTGTTGGGAAAACATGTATGAGTATATTGGCTAGGTCGTATGATAAACTTTTGGTTTAACTTTTCAAGAAACTGCCAGTTTTCCAAAGGGGCTGTACCATTTTTATTCTTACCCAATGTGGAA